ATCTTTACTGTTGAATGTACAATTTTCTCCCCCATTTTTAGATGTCCGACATCGGGGTGTTCAGTTGTGGTCCGTCCCAGCTCAACGAACAAATCAGTTCCGCCTGTGCTCGGGGCAATCGTGCCCGAGATGCACCATCATTTATACACAAATTCGAAACTTTCTAACGTTACATTTGTTTTTATAATTTATTTGGGAGATTTTTTTTTGCTCAGAAAGCTTCTTCAACCTTGAACATCTGTCTCTGAACACAAAGGCAGCCTTTGTGATGCAGTTTGTCAAAATAAGCGAAAGGAACTCTGTCAGAAAGTCGATCACCTTCTTCACCTTCTCCCTTCCCCACTTGTTCTGTCCGTAACTGGCTCGATGCTTCTTTTATGAAATTGTTTTTGCCAGAGTTCTGAGTTCGTTCATGTTTCCAAGGTTCATTTCTAGGGACTGGGATGTAGCACCATCTAGGGACACCCATGACTACCCTAGCATGCCCCTTAACAAGGCCTCTTTGCGAATATTCCTTTTTGTTCCTTTCTTATGCGAGATTTCGATAATTTGAAGACTTGAGGTCCTATCCATGAGACCAATTTTCAATGCAACTATTTCATCCTTTCGTGGGACGTCTCTTTCCTCCTCAAAATAGGCGAATACAATCCTATCTATGGACTGAGCTTGACCATTGTTTTCTGGACCGCCACCGTTGTAAAATGAATGTCATTAGGGGCCAACTGAGGAAGTGTGACTTAAGGTCCGGTACCTTTTCGTATTTCTATGTTGCTGATATCATATAAGCTGGTGTCATCGCGCTACACTGAATCAATTGTTGATAACTTTTTCGATTTCATTTGCCATCAATCAATATTTACTGAATATGATCCCTTTTTGTAACTCGATGTGTATTTCAATCCCAGACTGTAAGGACCTAATCATATGCCTTTCAAATGCCAATTAAGATGTTGTGAATTTCATGCTTTATTTACGTTTATTGGTATTACTGAATTACTTTCATGGGTCAACTACCATGAGAAAAACTTATGGGACTTGTTTATTGCTTTGTATACGAGATTTATTGAATGTTGGTGGTTGGGGGACCACTGCTCTTTTCCAATCCTGAGCGCTAGACGTAAAGAAGGAAGGGTACCCTACTTTGAGGGGCCATAATGGTGCTCAGGAACGTTCCTTAGCCAAGAAGTATAGTTTTTTCAAGGTAAGCCTCAGGGGGGAAGGAGCACTGGGGTGAGTGCCTAGTTCCTACATGATCCCAACTTTTTGCTTGCATGAAGATATCATCTCACCCACCCCGGCACTTTTACCCTACTGAGGCTTGGGTAAAAACCATATTCTCTTGGCTGAGAACCTCCTTTGAGCCAGTAGGGGGCCGGCTACCCCTTCTGTGCGCTCCAACGCTCAATGTTGGGAAAGAGCGGTTCCCCCTTCCCCTACCACATTCTCTCCTTGAATGATTATTATGTGATGAATTTTTAATGCTCAAGATCAATATTGATTACTTAAACTTGTTCTATAAGAGATAAATGCTTCCATGCAAGTGTTTGTGTGCTACATGGAAAGATTATTTTTGAGTTCGGCCAGCATTTCGGTATTCAAGAATGGATAGGTTCAAGAGTCATCACCGAATGATAAGGGAGATTGCTCCGTTGACAAACAAGTTCGACTTTCTTGCTGGCTGATCATATTTGCTGTCGTCTGCAAAATTCCAAAGGTAAGTGGGTGTGAAAACTGCCGCCTCCAGTCATGGGTAGTCATTTCTGATAAGGGGCTCCTATTTTTTTCGATTAAATTCAATGAAGTGTTCTGAAAACGTGTTACGCTTTTCAATTTGATTGGAACCGCTTGTTCACGGCATAAGGATTGACACATTTTTCAGTCCGATCTTTTTAAACGATTATTGTGGTTCCTGTAGCTCTGTCCTTCGATAAAAGTGATATATGGTCTTATAGGTTCTCTAGATGTGGATGATAATGTTTGGACTATTGCTCATAGGAATTACCATAGGTTCCTGCTCAGGTATGTTTGGTTCCATGAAGTTTGGGAAGTAATAACTTATATCACTATGCAACTTGTTACCCCCGATTGGGCTAAGATAGTTTTCTTTTCAACCGTCTCACAAATCCACTGACGATACGCCAGCTTACGGTTCGCATCAAAGACCTATTTGACTGAAGCGACTCAATTGTTGCTAGGTTGACAAAAAGGGATGATGCATTTTTTAATGAAACTGTCGATGAGTGGACTGGTAATCGATAAAATGGTGTTTATGCCATTGTTTACAAGCTCTCATTTTGTTTGTGGTAGTTAGGGCTGAGGCTCAGGCTAGTTGGAATTAGAAAAGCATCGGTAGTTCGACTTGATCCAAGCATCACCTGTCGCCCCGTCGATCATCGAGTTCCTTAGAGAGGCGCCAATTACGTCAACGTCCGCCTTAGTCCTGTGCAGACCTTACTGGGAGAGCCGAAATAGTGAATCAGTCGCTTCACTTCATCAACTTCCTTTTTAGACTCATTGCGTAACCAAGAATTCCAGCGCTACGATGGATGGAACAACAATCGAGCAAACCCTGGATGGGGGAGTGCTGGTAAGCGTTTATTAATAATAAAGTATAGGCTGCACAGGAAGTGAACATTTTGTGAACAACAGATCACAGGAACATTCTTTAGAAGATTCCTAGTAGTAAGTAATGATAGACAGTGGAAGATATTGTAATTAAGGTAGTCGACTTCTGAGAGATTCCCCACCAAACTACTACGATGGAATATACAAGGTGAACAACTCGCTACCGTCACCCAGAACTGTATCCAGAGTTGTCTTCGAAGGTATTCATTTTAATGGAAAGTACTGTCGATTTTGTTTATTCATGCCTGTCATTTCACTCTACTGAACTTGAAATATACGTAGATATCAGAAGGGCGGAGATGGTGCTGTATCAAGTAGCGCACCATCCTGCACGCATGATCACGGGATCGAATCCCGGATCGATGGCCGCCTAGGCCAACCAAGCCTTCCATCCCTCCAGGGTCGGTTAATTGGTACAGACTCGTCTAGGAAGATGAAAGCACTGACTTGAACATTGGCTGGCCACCTTAATTCATTGCATGGGCTGCATACTCATTCAATATGCCACAGCAATACTGAATGGAAGTCGGTTGCGGGGTGCATTCCTCAGACGAGATTGATGAACGCCAAAAGACATCATCCTTCAGCTTTTATCGGTGTCAGCTATTTTGGTTAGCCACAAGGACAACTTTCGGGAAGCTATTCTTCCAGTGTATAAGTTTCGCTGTAGTTCCAACTCATATGCCCTACAGGTAAATCCGTGCTTGTCCTAGTGGATGATCTGTTCGACGATCCCAGACCAAACCTCTTTTACCCCGCTGGCTGTTGCTTCTGGGTAGGACGAGAACTGAATTGACTTCGTTTTATATTTTAAGACATTATAAAAAGGATAAAGGATAAAGTTTTTGGCGTTAATCAACCCCGTCCGAGGGATGCGCCCCAGCACTCGACCTCATTCAGAGTCGCAGTGGCGTAATGAGTGCGTATGTGGCCTATACAATGACTTGCGGTGGCCAGCCGATGTACAAGTCAGTGCTCTTATCCTCCCAGACGAGTCTGGTACCAATTCACCGACCCCGGAGGGATGGAGGGCTTGGTTGGCCTANGCGGGCATCGATCCGGGATTCGAACCCCTGACCGTGCGTGTGATATAGTATGACTTTCACTTTCTTGAACCCCATCCACTGTTAACACTTATTTGCAGGATCGCCTGGTATTCCTAACAGACGCAACTTGACCTCTATGTTCGCCTTCTTCTGTGAGTTCTCCTTCTGATAAAGTTATAGAAATTGCGATAACGCTCTTTACTACGCGTGATGCACCACTGTTTCCTTTGTTACCTTTGAGATTAACTCCGGAAAAACCCCAGAATAAAACCTGTCCAGGCCAACCAGGAGTTTTGTCTCGTTGGAATTGGTGGATTGGTACCAGATAGAGGCTTACATTGGCCGACCTTTGGGATTCTTGGTATAGACAACATAGGCTTTCAAAGCGGCACATCCACTTGAATGGGAGCTGAATGCGAGGCGCACCACAAAAACTGATTTGCCAACGGCTTTCTGAAGCTGAGCCAGGATAGCAATTTCGTTGTAGCGAAGTCAGATCATCGTGGGCATGCTTCCAAAAAAAGCAGTCAGCTCCAATAAAACCATATTGAGCTGTTTCAGATGAAATGGTTATGTACGAGATCACGGCTTCAACACAAACAGGTTGCCCTATAGAAATTATCAAAATCCCGGTCAGTGTCGGTGATCCGGTGAGTTCCGCCACTAAAGACCACAACATCGGTCTAATAGTTTTTCTTTGTGGTGACATTTGAAGACTATTTTATTTATGCTGTCAGAACTTCTAGATCGTTTGCTGTTGGCATTTCTTTTCTGGTAGAAATTTGAAACCCCACTTTAAAGAGCCCTGTAATTTTTAATTTTGGGAAGAAACGCCTGGTTAAGGAGGGGTAGCTGGCTTACTGGCGCTCAGGGAAGGTTCTTAGCAGAAGGAATAATGTTTTTATCCAAGCCTGAGAAGGGGAGGAGCTCCTGAGTGGATGAGATGATTTCCTCGTGCAAAAAAAATGAAGTCATTTCAGAATTGAACTTTCAATTGACTCATCACCCCGGCACTCCTTCCCTTCTGAGTCTTTGATTGAAGGAATCATATTACCCAGCCAGGAAACGTTCCCAAACACCATTACGCGCTCATAAAGTCGTCTACCCTGCCTTATCTGCGCTATAGCGCTCAACAAGGAAAAGACGGTACCCACATCCCTCACCTCCCAGGTGTGGTGCGTTGGGAACGAAATGGTCGCGTCGCGGTGAAGGGGCATCGCGCGCGAAGGAATGTAGCAGGATGCAGCAGAAGGCAAGAAATACAAGAACAAAAGTATTAATAGTAGAATTATGCATAAAATAATGATCGCATATCGATTGAGCTGTATGAAGAACGCTAGAGCTGTAATAACGGCGAATGAGTGGTCCGCGACAGCCGCGCGCGGCAAATCGATTACCCAAAATCGTTCCTAACGCCCGTCTCCCCTCACCTCCCAACTACATTTTCACTTAAGTAGGTATCTAGTTTACTATCACGTTAAATAAATTAAATAGAGTTAAGAGGAAAATTTATGTGGCGAATTGATACATGGCAACATTTAGGCGTTCGATGTCAATGGAACCGTCAAAGGTATGCCCTTCACTCGTGCCAAATACGACAAAAGTACTGGGAAAGGATTCGACTGTCCTAGAGAACAGGTGAACGACCTATTGAATGACTACGATTATTTTCGAAGAAAAAATTAATTTTAAACTGGTGAGTGTAGCAATAGTAGTAAATGAGCACTACAAGCGTCGAAATTGCCAATGTTCCTGGGAAGTTGACCTGGAAGCCGCCAAGTTCGATTTCCTTTTACCAGACGCTTGACTGGACTTTTTTTTCGATTTGTCCTTTCAGTCAAAGAAGCTGTACAGTGAGTCCCCCGCTATATCCGCAACATTGAACTTATTCCAACAAAAAAGGAAGCTCCGAAATTTCATCGAGGCAGAATCAGGACTGAATAGCTATCGTTTGGTCCCTGGAAGGGAATCCTTTCTGGGATGAACTATTTCGGTTAGCAATCATGCAAAATTATTGACCCACACATGGGTGGCGTGCGATGGTCAAATCAGCAATTTTACCTAGCCCTACTTTGTAAATACACACAAATATAGGGTGATTTCGCCTTCCAGAATGGCGAGTTGAAATCCTGGAGTAATCATTTACTACTTTCTAGCTAAACGAGAGAACTGCTTGGATCGATGGTTCATTCGTGTACAGCGTTGTGGAGGCCTGGGTAGCATCAATGAGATCATTCGAGAATGGCACCTTCAAGGAGGGTTTGGAAAAAGGGTCAGTCTCGTTGCTGCATGCATTGCATTCGAACCCATATGTTCTTCATTTTACTTTCAGTTATCCACCATTGAATGAAGCTAACGTTCCTCTGAACAATCCTCCTCCTCCACAGGCCCATAGATTTCTCTCTTCTAATCGCCTCTTCCGTTAGTGAAATTGTATTGACATATCGATTTTTTCTCATAATTCATCGACTAATAGTTATGTATTGAGTCTCTTTTGTGTTCACCACTTTCAGTCCTTGGTGATTCACGGGTGAATGAAAATCCTGGACTGCTCTCCATTGGCATCATTCTTTACAGATGGCACAACATCATGGCGAAAAGGTTTCTTTTTCCCACAATAATTCAGCTTATTTCATCAATCTATTTCTGAACTGCGCCTCTTAAGTTATCTTGGACATCATCGGTATAGGAGGGGCATCAGTTTTGTCTGGGTGGCTCCTGTCACTGCTAGGGTGACGTTATTTGATACAGGCGTTACCTGGAGCCATTTAGATTCGAGTCAGGTATTCAGCACTGTCAACTGCATCCGCTCGAAGTTTTTGGAGCGCTGTCTACCCGAGAACCTCGTGGCAGCCAAAATCTTTGAAACATGAACAACTCATTAGCTGATTTTTTGTACAGTTAACAAAATTTTGCCGTTTCAATGTTTCAGATTGCAAAAAGATCACCCTCGCTGGACAGATGAAGAGCTCTTCCAAGGAGCTCGCAGATGGGTGATCGCTACGATTCAGGTATTACCGTCTTCATTGGTATTGCGTTACGATGGTCAGGAAACCGATAAAAATCCCTGAAGGCATAAACAGTACTGAAAACAATTCACTTTGAGACTATACCATTCAATTTAATGATGATTTAGTACATTTTGACCCAAGGAAATTGAAAAGGATCAACAGCTATCCGTTTGTTTGCAGAAAATCATTTATTACGACTTTCTTCCTGTACTGATCAATGAGGACGTCAAGCCGTACGAGGGCTACAAGCCTCATGTTCCGCCGGGAGTATCCCATTCTTTTTCTACTGTGGCCTCTAGATTCGCTTATACTATCGTGAGTTTGAAATATTTTTTTCAGAATGTAAGATTTCGAGAGCTGAAAACAGCTTTTCAATATCATCGAAACCTAACGCTTGTGGGAAACTTTTGATGAGCTCTTGTCCTATGCGAAGTTCAGATTCCACCAGCAATGATTCTTCGAAAGAAAGCGGAAGCCTGTGAGTTCCGAGAGGAAGTAGGCGACTTTCCTGCTGTTCGTCTATGCCAAAACTGGTGAGGCCTGCAACGATTGCTGAAACTTTGCTACCTCACGAGATCAGCTTGCTTGATCAGGCAGTAGGAATTGCAGAGTCCGGTAGGGCTCAGCCCCTTCTGGGCAAAAATACTTCCCCTAGTTGTGGCAGACAGAAGCAACGGGCACATGCTCACAAAGATACACAGATGCCTTCACTTCATGTGTTTCGTTAAGGTGGAATGCACAGGACGTCGTACAAGAGTATTCGGTGGACGAGTTCATTCTCGGAATGGTCTCTCAAGTGAGCGAAGACGAAGACATCGTTGTCGTGGAAGATTTGCGAGGTTGTTGATGCATCAATTATTATATTTTGGAACGGTGACTGGAAAGATCCGCCTCCTTCGAAAGGATATTGTGATATTTCTTGTGAAATAACAAAATAAGCTAGAGAGATTTATAGATTTCTTCTACGGCCCGCTGCATTTCTCGAGGTTAGACGCTGTGGCTGCGACGATTATGCGAGGACGTGACAATGGCCTTTCTTCATATAATACACTTAGGAAAAGATATAATTTAGTGGAAAAAGAATGGCACACAATCAATCCGAAGCTGTACGAAACCAACAAGGACGTGAGTGTAGCTTCTTATTCGCTGTGGATGTCGAAAGTGAATTTTGTGCTTCTGTCACGAGATCCCCATTAGATAGGGTCCTACTTATCCATTGGAGGGGTGTGGGTACTTGTCCCCGGAATCCGCATCGCCTCGCCGCGCCTGATCGCTCGGAACCACTTCTGCCTGTTGTGGGAATTTAGAGGAAAGTACTGACATCCCTAAATGACCTGCTACTTCTTCTTCGATTATCGGTGTACCTGTTTATTTAGTTATTTGATGAACTCGCCGCTCTTTATGGTGGAGATATCGGACAACTGGATGCATTTGTTGGTGCGATGCTTGAGGTAGACGGTGAACCAGGTGAATTGTTGAAGGCAATAATGAAGGAACAGTTTGAAAGACTTCGTGACTCGGACAGGTACGGTTCCTTTGTAAACCCAGTCATCGATAAAAACGCTGACTCGCGACCAGTACACGATTTTAGAGCCATGATGAGCTAGATCAAAATAGTTCTGGAGATTTCATATTGGTAGGAATTCATAGCACATGACAAGCAACACGAGCAATGACGAGTCGAACGCTTTAGTGGGGCATAATACGGGCTCAAAACTACCGATCCTAACCTCCATTGGGTGACTAAAACTCCCACAAGAAATTCAGCGGCTTTTGAGACGTTTAGAGGCATTATTCAAAATTTTGCCGTCTGCTCCTTCTCTATGTTCCTAACTCACACATATGACTTTTCATGGGTTGGAATCTTTTCATTTCGAAAGTCCTTTTTGTCATCGAAACCTAGTTCGACTTTGGAAGTGACTGGGTCAGAAGATTCGTTTGTTCCCAGATTTTTGCGGATTTCCTGGTTTTCTTCGGCACCTAATGATTTCTCTATCGACTTTTCCACCCTTCACACGAGAATCCTATCAGCTTTCATCAACAGTGCCTTTGAAGAGAGCCAATAGTTGCCTTTGTAGACTTATAACATAGACCTTTCTCTTGATTTTTGCTTCATGTTGAATTTGAATTTGATCAGTTGAGATAGATGCGACCTTCCCTTTTTTTAAGGTTCTGGTTCGAAAACAGGCAGAATGGTTTTCTGACAAACGAGGAAATCGACTTGATACACAGTATAACTCTGAAGGATATCATCCAGCAAACCATAGGGATACCTGACCAATGGCTGCCGAAAAATGTGAGGCGTTTTGGGTTTTACCAACTCATCAACAATTTGATGTTGACAAAACGATTTAAGGTGTTCCTCTTTCAAGATGGCGATCCATGCCCACAACCATTTCAAGTGAATGCCACAGGTAACCAACTTTATCAGAAACCTTCGATATTGCTATTTCAAAGAAAATCTCTCCAAGTCCTTTCATGTCTTAACTGTACCGTTCTATTTGACAGGACTTGAACAGTGCGTGCCATTGATGAGGTTTGATCATGTTACCGAAGTGGAAGGGAACGAGATAACCTTCATTTTCACACTTATCGGGCTTGGGTGCTTCCCACTGGGTGAGTCATATTTCATTGAGCTTGTTCTCTTATAATATCAAAAATCCGGTAATGAGGTACAAAAGTAACCGGTCCCAAAGGGATGGAAGGCTGTGGGGCTAGCTATGGAGCTTCTAAAGGCATATGGCTGATTGTGTCGGTATCGCAATTCATATAAACCTCGCGAAAAGGACTTCAAACTAGCAGAGATCTGACTTTCTTCAGAGCCCGACTCTCTTCCACAAGAAGACCCTCTTTCTGTTAGTGTGTATCAGATTGGAGTTTTTGTGAATTCGATATGGAATCATGTCCTCGCCTTCACTTCATAGCGATGGTAACTCACGTTTGTCTGTTGCAGTATGCTTTGGTATCGGCTGTGTGCTCATTCAACGACGTCGCCGAATGGGATGGGATTGCTCGTTCGACAATTTTTCTATCGCAACCGCCGAAAACGATCCGTCGGACCAGTTTCAAGTTATGAGCAGCTCACCCCTTCACAATGATGTCGGTCGCTAAACTAATGAAGTTGTTTTAGCATTTGAGTGGCTCCATGAATCCTACGTTCGCCAGGTTGTGGTCCTAGTCTCGCCAGGCGTGTTGACACTTCGCAAACCACGGGGCGCAGTACTCAGAAAGACTTTGTATCCCAAAAACTCAGAGGTTCGTGAGCCCTGGCACCTTTTCGTAAAGCTAGGGAGCAGGCCGTTTTCTGATGTCCACCAAAGCCAAAGTGTCCCATGTCGAGTTTCATCCACCGAGAAATGTTTTTTAAACTTTGATACCCAGGTTATCATCCAACACAGCGAGCCGAACTCATCTGCAGATCATGGACCGTATTGCCTGATAAAACTGAAAAAATCACATGATTTAGTAAGATTTCTACTACTACCCACTCGTAATTTCTCGAAACCCTTATCAGGAACGAGGAAAGTTGCCTGTTGAAGCAAACTTTTAGGTCCTTCGCTTCCAATCCGACAAGTATTTAGCGAAGTTTTTGGCGTCATTCACAAATATGGTGGAGAAACTTGATGGGCACGTAAGTCTCATCTCCATGCAGAACGAAGAGCTGCTGGCTAGAGCAGAAACGAAGGTAATGCTCTAGCCATTGTTAACCAACGTTTACCTCTTAAGTAATTGAAAGCGTAGGGGACCAACTGGGTTTAGGACCGCCGCCAAGAGCGTTTGGACCACTTTTTCCGCGAAGCATACGCCCGTGCATTCGATCAGCAGAATCTGCGTGATTCTGAAGTCGAAACTGATGATGTTGATGACATCCTCAACCAAACGATAACGAGGTGAGCTTGGATATCCCTCATGGCACATCATTCAACTCCCAAATGCAGGCATGAGTTTGCACAAGCGATTGGAATGAGGGAAACGGATCTGTTTGTACAAAGAATGTTCGCAGTGACTGCGAAATCTGATAAGGAAGTCATCACATTTGCAGAGTTTCTCGAAGTCCTCAAGAAGTTCAGTTCAGGTTAGCCGCCGTTTCGGTTCAGCTAGGGTGTAGTCTAGTGAGTCGACACGTTGCGCCATTGATATCATGATTATTCACTTAGAATGAAAAGAATCGGTTTGATTTTGGACCAGAAGTACTTCCCCGTATCCAGTGGTTGGGCTGTCAAAACAGAAGGCATCTTTCAACCAATCTCCTTATGAAGCACTAGTCCCGAAACAAAAACCTTTCATACTTGTAAAGTGAATGCCTGTTTATGGCCTGAAGAAATTCAATTCTACCAAAGACCGAACTGCTCTGTGAATGACCTCCTGGGAGCATACCCATTCTTTACCGGGGATTTTCGGAAAAGCGTGGATTTAAAGATTCCCTTTTTATCATTGTCCATTAGGAACCCTCCACCCCCTGCGCACAGCGATGCCGAAAAAACGATTTCGGTGATCACACCGTTCCTCGATAACCATGCTTGAGAGAGATCCAGTCTTGTAAAAATAAAAGAGCGCTGACGAAAGCCGGTATCTGCTTTACCATCACTGATGATAGCAAATCCCAAATATAGAAACGGGAAGATCTGTCTGCGAAAATTAATCGCGCCTGCTCCTTCTGGAAAACTTCAGAAAGTCTCCTATTTCCTTTGAAAACCTTTACCCCTCAACACCACGCTTCACAAGGGAAAGTTCAAGGATCACCAAACGTCCCTCCAAAACTGTGAAAAAAGTACAAATACTCACCGTTCCCTAAGCACACTACCTTATGCGGAGCCATTTCGGTAGTTTGTTTCTTTCATCTCAGTAAAATCTTTTTTTTTTGGCTGTGGAGGCTATGAGTGGAGAACATCTCTATTTCCTACCAACCACAACTAGTGGTTCTTCCCCACAAAAAACGTTTTACTCACCTAGCTCCGTAGAAGCTCTTGAAAAATTCCTGCCTTCGTTCTAAGGATCTGAGACGGTCAACCAGTCGGTTCCAGATCAGGTTATTCGAGGGAAATCTTGGGCTCTCATAAAGGCATCAGTTATTAAGGTGTCTCCACAAGTACCAAAAAGGAAAAGGAATATAGAGTATTGGTTCACCATCAGTACTGGTAAGAAAACCTGAAAGAGAGCTGGAAAACTTTGATGTAGGCACTCGACCGCTTCTTTTTCTTCCAGGACCAACTGAATATGCGTCCAACCTTTGTAGAGTAGCTTCTGGATCATTCATGACCTTCAGTTTGAAGGATTTTTCATTTGATACAGCATTCTTCGATGTTAAGAAGATTTAAACTCCCGCGGTTCCCTGAGCACAGTACCTTCCGCGAAACCATTCCGGTGGTCAAAGTTTCTTTCAACTGAACAAACCTATTTATTTTAGACTCAGGAGATTACTATTGGAGACCTTCTCTACTTCCTATTGGCCATCTATGCTTGCCTTTTCGCCAAAAAACCCTTTTATCATACAATTCGATAGAACCTTCAGAAAAATTCCCTTTTTGATTGAAGGAGCAGAGACGGCGACCAATTGATTTCAGATCAAGTGATTCGAGCGCAATTTTAGGACCTTTGATGACATTCAACCGCTTCTTTTTCTTCTAGGACCACCCAACCTTCCTAGAGTAGCTTCTGATTCATTCTCCGGAAATCTCTGAGCGTTGAAGGGAAACCCAATGCCCATTACCCTACCTATAGCCTATCGTCCCAGCTGTTTTCATGGTCTTTTTTTCACTGTATCGTTTTTAATAGTCAAACCATACGATGATTGTTTGAGAACATTTAGGAAGTGTGCAGGAGAAGTACAGCCTTCTCTTCTCACTATGCGATCTAGACGGCGACGGACGAGTTCAACGAAGTGACTTGGCCGACCTTCTTCGTTCGCTCAACGTGACATTCGGCGTTTCGATCACGGAAGACAGCCAGAATGACGTTATCGATAGCATTTTGGGAAAACCAGGTTCTTCCCTCATCTTTGAGTGACGGCTTTTGAAAAATGAGGAAATTAGCTGCTAGGGCACCTACTTAGTGAATTCACGTCAGTAAGGTCGCATTGACCAGTGTTTGGGATGAAGAGGGAACACTATGAAAGCACATCTAATTTCCTCCACTCTAAAGCAAGCAAAGGATATTTTGATTTTGATTGTTTCAATAGCATTTTCCAGGAGCCAGTTCTAACGCTGATTATCTTACAAAAACGGATTTCGAAGCGATTTTCCTACAGGCAGGGAAGGGTCGCCCTCTAGGAATCGATATGCGTGGTGCAAAACTCAAAGTGGATCTGCAAGAGTGAGCTCCCTCCTCTGATTTTTCTCTCTGCCACCTTCCTTCCCTACTCGTTGTCTGAAGTAAAAAGAATATAGAATTTCTTGTACTCGTGGCATTTCTTAGCATTCAGATTTCAAAGGGGGAGATAGAAATGATCCTTAATGAAGAGACAATCTCAGCTCGCAACCTTCCATTTTGTCCAACGTTTGGAGATGATGATTGAAGTTTCTGAAACAAAATCTTAAGTTTTTGTTTCAGAACGGCTTCGCTGAACTCATTCGCTGTCCCCTCAACTGTTGATAAGTCTTCTGACCGGTGGAGCACGGTCGGTACGATTGTAGCTGCCACTGCCACATATCGCCGGCACATCTTCATACTTTTCATTTTCTGTTCCGCGAATCTGATGATCTTTTTGGACCGATTCCGATGTCAGTCAATTCACTGGCTCATTTATTCGAACGTTTATGACCTTTCTTCTTCAGTCCATTTCTACGAAACCGAACACCTCGATCAGCGTCGAGTTATGGGTGCTGGAATCGCTATCACCCGTGGAGCTGCTGGTGCATTATCATTTTGCATGGCTATCGTACTTTTAACAGTATGCCGGAATATTATAACTGTCCTCAGAGAAACCCCCTTTGGGGAACTCATACCGTTCGATTCGGCCATCGGTTTTCATAAGGTTCGGGATGCTGATGTTGTCTTGGTAAGTATTCCTTCGCCTTGACCTTATCTACTTACAGATCGTGGCTTTCTTTGCTGCGTTCTGGGCAACTGTGCATGCTATCGGGCATTGCGTGAATTTCTACCACGTAGCCTCGCAAAGTAAAGAAGGACTACACTGCTTGTTCCAAGAGGCCATTGTTGGGTTTGTGATGTTTCTCTTTTATGAATTTTATTCTATATATACCTGCATACCACAGGGAGTACGATCTTCTGTTAATGAGAAGAAGCGAAAACCCTCCACTGCAGCTGTTTTAATGCTGGCTTCTCAAGCGAATTCGTACGGAAAGGCTGCTTTCATGGTCCGCCGGCCGGCCGGCGTGCCGGCGCGCGTGCCGGCCGGCCGGCGAGCGTGCCGGCGGAGGCAGTGCTAGCGGGGAGGAGGGAGGCAGACAGATAGGCAAACAGTCCACGCCCCTTCGAGGGGTTGAAAACAAACAACCTTCGAAGGGACGTGGACTGTTTGCCTTACACTGTCTGCCTCCCTCCTCCCCGTTAGCACTGCCTCCGCAGGCACGCTCGCCGGCACGCCGGCACGCCGGCCGGCCGGCCGGCGGACTATGAAAGCAGCCAAAGAGAATAGGAAGCGATGAATTTATTTTCCGATTATGATAGGTTAATAATAGGGTACGGTGATAAATTTCCTTTTTTGTAAAATGGTTTCCTTTTCCACTACCCTTCCATGCCCTCCCTCCCATACTGTTCACCTCAGTCAGTTGCGAGAGCAGACAAGCCACAAAAACAAAACATAGAAAGAACGCTAATTGATCAGGGAGATTCTTTTTCAGTAAAAGAGCATCATTAGTTGGTATTGTATTATACGTTTTTGATCCAAACTTGAATGATACGTGGTTATATCCCGCATAGGTGATGTGGATTCCCTGGTAGAGTGAGAAAATCATTCAAAATTAGGGAATATCGCTAAGTAATTAGTCTTTCGAAGCTTTAATTGAGCTAATTTTATTAGATCGAACTTTCTACCATCAATCAGTTATTGGTTCTACGGTACGATTACCGGTTTCACCGGGATACTACTCGTTTTGGTAATGTCGATTATTTACGTGTTTGCGCTGCCCCGTTTCATGAGAATGGCATATCATGCATTTCGGTAGGTCGAAACTATTTTTTCAATATCGCCCTAGATTTTCTGGATAATAGAAAAACATGCTTTTAATTTAAGCCTCACCCACTTGCTCAACGTCGCTTTCTACGGACTGACGATGTTGCATGGATTACCAAGACTGCTCGGCGTACGTACAAATATTTTATAAAAATAAATTTGTATAAAATTTGAAAAAAGGTTTGGATTTTTGAGTTCTTCAGAAGCCCGGTTATCCTATCGCATAGCAGAAATCTCACTCAAATGTTCTAAATTTTTGAAAAAAATATCAAAAAGTTGCATTACTCTCCCTGAGCTTTGTCATCACGGGTGTGGTACCTTCTACCCGAAAATCGCATCGTGTTTGCCGCATCCGTTCGCACGCGAACGCGCGCTATGAATGGGAATGTTTGAATTTCTAGTGGTAGGATACGGTAACAGCAGAGCAACGACTGCAGCTTACCCTAGAAGTTCGGGTAGAAGTACAACGACCGGATCGTCACTGATCCCCAATTCGTACGATTTTCAATTAATAAGTATGTAATCAAACAATCAATCAATAATTTTGTAGTCGCCTAAATTCTGGAATTACGTCATTGGCCCTATAATTATATTCGTGATTGATCAAATTATGGGAATGCGTCAGAAATACAGGAAATTGAACATCCTCAATGCTGAACTTCTACCATCCGGTAATTCTTAACTCTCATTGGCTGCTTTCATAGTCCGCCGGCGTGCCGGCGTGNCATTGTCTCTTTTTAATACTAATACCTCGGCAAAATCAGAATTTTCTCAGATATTATCTACCTGCAATTCGAGCGGCCATCATCTTTCGATTTTTGTTCTGGACAATGGGTCCGTATTTCATCGCCGACATTCTCGAGCGTTTTCAATGAATGGCATGCCTTTTCACTTGCATCTGCACCGCAATCTCCAACAGTCGAACTTTATATCAAGGTCCGTTTCATTAATTTTTTAATAATAGTAATACAGAAGTGATTTCCGAACTATCTGACAATTTTTTAGTCTTACTTCTGCCCAATTCAGGCAGCTGGTCCATGGACGTGGAAACTGAGATCTGAAATACTTTCTGCCCATGCTGATGGCTCACCATATCCTCTTTTGCACATGGCTGGTCCTTATGGAGACGGCAACCAGGTAATTGAGATACTCACGCTTTTTGCTAGATTCTTGGTTCTACTTATACTTCTGATAACTCTATGCAAATGGAGAGGATTTACTTTTCAATTACTTTCAACTGCCCCCGGGCGTCAAATCTTTTTTAGTTGAATCACGTTCCAGAAAAAGTTGCCTGGTCAAGTTGAGGGGGGTTCCTGTCTAAAATTGAGCGCTGGAGCGCAAAAAAGGAGGGACCACCGGCTTTACCTATACTCAGAGTTGGGAGACGGTTTTTAGCCAATGGATATTGTCCTTTACCTAGGCTTCAAGAGGGCAGGAATTCAGGGGCAAGTGGCATGATTCTGGGATGTAGGAAGAATTGAAGTGGTGTCACTCACCCTGGTGCTGCTCCTCTCCTACTGCTAACAATAAGGCAAATACTACGTACCCTTGGCTCATATTGTAAGATTCGTCTTTGAGCACCATTACGGGCTTGCAAAGCCGACTACCTTCCGGTCGCCACGCCCTAATGTAAAAAGTAATGTAAAAAGTGTAAATGTAAATGTTGAATGTAAAAAGCATGAAGTACTCCACTCCCTCTCAATCACATTTTCAAACAAGGCAGTGTTGTAATTCAGGAGTGGAACAGTTACGAGGTGGCCGTAATGGTTGGAGGAGGAATTGGAGTCACTCCATATGCATCCACATTGACTGATTTGGTGTTGGAAATCACGTCTGCACTTCATCACAATGTCAAATGCAAGAAGGTAAGACTGTCATTTTGCTTCCACTATCATAATGGCGTTGATCTGTTCAAAAGGGTTTCGGTCAGGAGTTTAAGGTGTAAATCTCGTCTGGGAAAAGTTTTCCCATTAGCCTCCAGGTACTAGACCTCCAAGTAGAGATTGAGATGCGTCGCTTGAACCCTGAATGAATGTTGAATGAATGTTGTCCCTGACGAATTTCTCTGATTATTAGGTATATTTCCTATGGATTTGTCCGACGCATAAGAATTACGAATGGTTTGTGGATGTACTCAAAGGTGTCGAAGAATTGGATCAGAACAGGGTCATCGAAACGCACATCTTCGTGACACAGTTGTTCCATAAATTTGATCTGAGGACCACCATGCTGGTACGTAGTTTATTCAAATATTTATTCATTCATTTATGAGCAATCAATGAGGCGCTCGAGCCAAGTTAGGGGAAGCTTTTTTGTCTAGGACCACTATTTTTGGCCGATTTTCCAGAAGTTTACGGAGTTTGGTGAGAGTTTCTCTTTACAAACAGTGTGGGAGTCATTGTGGTGATCATCAGGGCAAATCGATGTTCACCGGTCTACGAGCCCAGAACCACTTTGGTCGTCCTAACTTTGACACCTTCTTCTCTTATCTCCAGAGTGTTCACAGCGAAGTGAGAATTCGTTATTAGAATAGGGCTAGCTCAGTTGAATTAGTTATTACTGCTCAGTCATGTCTACGTATTAAGGTGCCAGAGATTGGGGTGTTCAGTTGCGGTCCTTCCAAACTCAACGATCAAATCAGCTCCGCCTGTGCACGTGCCAATCGAACCCTCGATTCACCATCATTTATGCATCGATTTGAGACTTTCTAGTTCTTTACGGGCTCCTATAAATCGTCTCACTTTTTTTTTCAAATAGCTGATTCACCTAAAAATATCACTGATCGTGTTGTGAAGTAGGAATTGCATGACTATGTTAAAGAACGGGACTGGGGCATGTTGTCATTAATCAAAGTACCGATCGGAATCGATGGATTCCCAGCTATTTGATCAATCGGAATGATCATAGAAGAAAAAATTCAATAATTAAGTGAAATCTTAGGCATAGTTTCATGTGGGCTGGCTGCGTCTTTACCAGCTCGATATCCTTGAGTTTTCGTCCAAAATATGAACACGTTGTCTATCATCAACAGGATGTGATGATGGTTTAGACTTATACTAGAACAACTTTTTCGAGCTGTTTGGTTTCCATGCTTTGAGCAAGTGAGGAGTTTATACTTTCGATGGCCATGTTTGGTAGTTGGTGTTTCGCATTTCTCAAGGCGTTTGTTTACCACTCAGGTCAGATTTCAGTAGTTGAAAAATGGCTAAGCGTCAAGGGCACAGTTCATGATGAGAGTAGTTTTTAAGGTCTCCCCTTCAGGATGAACTTGTAGCCCCAAGGATAGCACTTGGAACATTGTCGGCTCAAGAAACGATTTTGACCGGGCGTTATAAGTGCTCTAAAACCTGCTAGGCAGACGTAGACACTCAAATGCGGCCGTGTTGTGGCGGCCTTGTTAAGGCTGCCCATTTACAATGAAGCTCCACGATGCCCACGAATAGTGCGCTCATGAGGGAGACACCCAGGCGATTACAGGCGGCAAAGCATTTACCCAGGAACCACGTTCATACATCTTCCCTTTCTTTTTCAAGGGATCTTTTTTTTTTTGCTATGAACTATGCAGTGGATGCGCTCAGTGTAGTACAATTTCTTGTATACTGTAGCCGGCGTTATCCTATTGTATACAAATGACATTTATCCAAAGCATTTATGTCGGGCAGCTCTTTTCGCTATTTTTTAAAGCCTTACATCATTTTTTATTAATTTGTTTATTTCTTTTTATTCTTATTTTTTATTCAATTTTTGCACTTATTTTCGCCACGACGCACTGTTGTAGTTGACTTTTGATTATCGTGACCAATGCCTTCAACCAACTCCCGAGAGATAGGAGGCTTGGCTCGGGTATTAATCTGGGATTCGATTACCGGAGCATAATGTGGTACTAGTGCGCCACTTCCATTTGGCACCAGACCACTTAGCCCGTTTAGATTAGGTACAGGTACGACCAATCTTCGATCCTCTTCTGAATAACTTGCTGGAGAAGACAGGTTAACTAACCGTTTTTTCTCTGTAACATTACATTTGTAAAGCTTTTAAGCCTTCCATATCATTGGAGCTTTTCATTTGGTTAGTAAAGGCTTGGGAAAAATGATTGAATTAAAAGAATTTAAAAACCCATCCCGAAGTTTTTAACTCAGACCTCTCCCAAAGGATGCTCCTAGAAGTGTCTTGTGTGTGGTACAGTAACTATAGACACAAACTCTTTTATAAACGTAATTAAGCAGAAAAAACAAAAATAAGAGAACATAGAGATAAAAAAGTGGTCCCACTCAGAACAAATTGAGCTGGAAGAAACGTCGAGTGGAAGATTTCGCTGTAATCGTCAATTGTTGTTTTGAGACGATTACTTGGCGATTTTATTTGCAGTGATGCTCAAGACTCCTCTGTTCGTCAGATGACTTTTCACGGAAGTGACGTCGACATCATTTGGCAGTTTATACGCACGGTGTACTTCACGAGCGATCGACCCAAGCTCATCGGAACGCAGCTGCAACTCACCAATCTAATCAACAGTTGCCTCAATGAGCACCTACATACAGCTGTTCGGTCTTATCGTAAGAATTTCTGATGGACGACGGAACCTCGTAGCTTAAATCGGGCCTTGACAGTCCTTACCTACCTCGGGATTAGTTCCGGGAATAATCTAGAAGCACCTTAGGAGCTTCTTTCTAAATTCAAAAATTACTTGCCAAATATTTGTAAGCCTCCCCCTATCATGACCTCAGCAGAGAAAAGCAAGTCAGATACAAAGTTAGCTCGCAGGTGCTTTACATGGGTAAAAGGCTGTTGACTGGTTCTCTGGGGTCGTGAATACCTCTGGTAAAAAACTGTTTGGAAATTCCTCCATGCTTTGTCTACCTCTTCCATACCCAAAAGGCAGCCCTACGAATTGGGAGCTTAGTGCTTCAACGGAGAAATGAAGAATTGTGGCTCCCTGATGTATCCTACAAAATTTGTAAAATATATTTTTTTATGAATATTCAGTTGCTACTAGGCGATATCCGGTTCCACCTGCTACCATTCTTCTCAGCCTTTATTAACAATCCCTCTTATGACGTGGAACCGACAGCGAACTACAACAGCTAGCAACCATTCCGAGGCATCATTTTGGAAAGGTTTAAAAGACCATTTTTGAAAAATTTTTTTCTCTACTGTAACATTTGGTGGTCGGGGTCTATCGGTCTTTTCTTCGGAAAAATTTTTGATTTGCTAATCTGCAAGGAGGTGCTGCTGAAGCGGTGGTACCAAGTTGAGCTTTTCAACACCGTATTTACCCAATGGCACTTCACTGAACGTCAAATAGAGCACTTTGAAAGTGTCATCGAAAGAGGTTCAGCTCGTGAAGATTCTCAAGTGGTGGACATCCACTGAATGTTTAAACTAAAGTCCATCAAAGAACGGGTCGAAATCGGTGGGGAGGCTTTCAATGGCCATAGTCAATAGAGATAGTCAAAAGATTCAGTGTAGTGATAGGTTTGCAATTGCTATTCAGTTCTTTACTAACAAAGTGGTGTGGACGGAAGTTCTCGCCTGGGCGAAATCAGTGGGAAAGGTAGGGGTGTAATACGGCTATACGATACCATAACCGCCATTGAGGGGTGTTTTGAAAGCACCTTGGTGAAAAAAACAGCCAAGTACCCAAGAAACCTCGACTTCTTGTAATGGGCAAGGGCTGTAGGAGACGAGTGAAGGGACGAATGTGGGAATACGAGATCCAAGCTAATTACCAGAATGGCCACCCCCGCCTGCGCCAAAGGGCTCCAGTGTACTCTTCACTATGACTGCTATGAATAAGCGAACAAGTGGTATAAAGAAAGCTCATTCTGCTGAGAATCGCAGATCCATCGATATTAGCCACGGGACAGGTTATAGCAATAGGAGCAGCTTTTCTAACAATGAAACATACCTCGTGTCTACAGTGAATCAAGAGATCCTGTCCGCACACTTTCACTTCGATATCCTTTGGCGAGAAGAATTGGGCGTCTAGTCCAACTTCGAACTTGTCGTTGGTATTTATGATCTAAAAACTTTCCGTGAAAGCTGTGAATGCCTCGAGGGTTAGCCGTAGACATTGGCGGAACTTTACCTTAACTACTCCTTCGTGGGATTGAAGAGGCCAGTCCCACTGCTCAGCCTCATGGGTGACTTCGATTGTGGACATTCTGAAAGAACGCAGTGTGAGATGGTTTGGAAATATATTCGAGAGGGTAAAAAAGAGCGCGAGTCAAAGGAAAAAGGCAGAAATCGGTTTGTAAAGGCAGAAAAGGTTGCGTTGGAAGTAGGAAAAACGGAACATCAGCACAGAAGTTGCAATGGCGATGGAAGAAATCAAGATGGCGACAAGACAGACGCCACCGCATACGCTCCCTCTTGCAACCAGGCTCGCTCGAGGGTCATTCGTTCACCAGATCCCAGCCGTCGATTGTTGTAAAGGAAACAGCTCGAGGTATACCCCGCCCTGATTTGTCCCGTGGGGCTGTAAACAATCCATATTGCCAGGAAATCGAAGGAGCAATATGAAGATTTCACAAATGAAGGCCACTGATCAAAAGTAATCCTATTCCCTGATCGTCAGTTTATCATGACTTCAGCAGGTACCCGGGAAAGAGTGAAAATCCTCCATTTTTCTTTCACATGTGAAGTGTGTTACATCTTGGAAAAGATGGCAGTACCTACTCAATTCAAGTGTTCTTCCCACCCGATTCGAAAAAACCAAACTCCCGTTTGTTACAATGGCTTGTAACTTTGAACTGGAACGCCGAGTTACTCTCGTTACTGACTTCGTCGCATGTTCGAGAGCTTACACTGCTTCTATCACGCGTTTAGTGGGGCCTCTGTTCACTATGAACTTCGTTACTCGGCCGATCGGTAACCTATGCAACAAACCCGAAAGAACCCAAAAGAAAGAAGATGAAAGAAAGAGTTTAAGGTTCCCGGTTTCTTTGATGGAGACAATTTCCTTCGACCTCCTTCAGTCCATCATGCAGTTTCAAAATCTGGTAAGCAAGCTAAATTAGGACGACAAGTTTGGCCTAGAGTGGAAAGATGAGGACGACAGGTTGCTCGGACTAAGGGTCGGGACATTTCTTTAATAGAATGCTTATCAAAATCCTCGGTTCTGACTTGACTACCTTGTTTCCCCGGAAGTTATAGGAATATGGAGGTCTCTCACGGTCTAATGAGACACAGTTTTGTTGACAGTCTTCACTGAAATTGAGTGCGTTTTCATGTGAACGGTATAAGCCCACAGTTGATTGGGATGTAAAGAGATCGGGGGAGGAGTGGGGAATCGGAATATCCGCTTACTCATCGTTGCCTCGGCCTTTTATCTTGAGTGTGACGACCAACGATTCTGAGACAATGTGGTGTTGGAATGATTAAGCTCTCAAACGACAACAACTCTTTTTAGAAAGAATGTGTGAAGCTATATATTTCACATATTTGGGATGTGAAATAAGTGGTATTGAATAGAAAACGAGTGTAGGTATATGGAAGCCACCTGTCGATAGTAAAGATCTACAGTAATCATGAGAAAATGAATGATCACTAATGATCAATATGCCACGAGGTCCCAGTTTACCACTCAATCATCTAGTACCAAACATAAATACGCGTGTTCTTACGATTGTAGAACTTAGAATTTATTTATTCTTAGAAGCATTGGAGTGAAAATGTTGCACTGGCTAAGCGGACAGACAAGTGGCTTAGAGACCGTAGGACGGTGATCGATGATTGTTGCGGAGCCGAGCTCAACTCTTGAGTCGGGTGGTTGAAGAGGTTGGTGAGCGAAGCCAGGACAGCCTATGAAAACAAAAGAGGGGGATATCTCAAAGAGTGTGGCGCAGGTGCAAACAAACGCACACCCAGAGGAAACGATGGGACAGAAGATCAGCAAGGCTGAGGTTCCCACCAACGAGAAATAAGGGCGGCTTACTAATGATGCCCACAAATGGATCGAAGTACTGGTCCTGAAAGTTCTTTTCTCACAGAATGAGTCTTTCTGACATATTTCTGATTACTGTAACGTCAGTAAGAAGATGTGAGATCTGGCAAAGACAGAAGAAGATGAGCTCCCAGCTGAGCCCTGTGGAGCTGTGCTGTCCTATACTCAGCCCCAGAACCCCTCTCGGAGCCTTTTTGCGAAGTATGATCACTGGCGGTGGGTTTTTCTGACGTATCACTAGACACGTGACCCGTTTTTCCTATAAACATCGGCCAACACTACCTCCTCCGCCTGCTCGAGGACCCTTTCCAGCCTGCCACATGGCACGTGAGCGGCTTGGTGACAAATCTAAGCCCTTCGATCAGCTATTTATGTGATTCTCGCTACGTTGTAATGTTGATGGCTCGGCCAAGACCACCATCCGACAGACATCAATAGCAACTATTAAGTAGGGAAATGAAATGCAACAGAAAAGCAACAAGTTTGTCGAACTTAAGCAGATATCGAAGCTATCCAAGCGCCTCTAGTCAATGTTCGTGCCATTGGTATCTGCTCAAGATTGGCAATGAATCGGTACCACACTCTTTGAGTTCAACAAAGTCTCTACACAGCGGGTCTGCGCCGTGGAAATGTTCGTTGCTCTGGAAATGCTCTAGCGATTGGAGGAAATTGGTCTAATAGCGGCAGCTGGGAAGTTATGGTGATGGTGGGAAGGGAGCCCTCTCGGTTCAGGTCGTTCAGAATGCCTTTGATCAACCCCGCAGTGTAAAAGCCTGGCGTTTTATTGGTACTCGCGAGGCAGCTGGTTGCCTTTAACCTCTTCTGAGGAACCCATAGGATCAAAATATACCATGGGGGTATGGTAGCAGAGTAATAGTAGGCCACAGCTAGGCCTAGAAAACCCCACGCAATTTTAAGCAGAAAAGGAAATTTTCAGACAAAAAATTGTTATTTCCGAAAGAGGAGGCTCCTGCTCTGAAAAAACTCCAGCGATTGGAAGAAAAAAGTCTGGCAGCGACAACTCGGGTGGTTATGACAAATTGGAGGAGGTTCCACCGTAGGGGTCGTTCCATAGGGTCCCGCATAATGTTCTACCAAAGCAGCGGAACTCTTCGAAGCTGTTCGCTTATTACATGTACCCCGACATGAGTTTGTGAAAATAAAGTTACCGGAAATGCTTAGTTGAAGGTTACAAGCCTACTTATTTTTTTACGAAGTTAAATTTGAGGCATTCTGGAATGAGAAAAAAAACAAAAAAAAAGTATTTGATAACAGTTAGCTATGGTCCTCAGCTACTGTTAGATTTCTCGTCTCATTTAGGTGAAGAGATATCTGGTCAAAATACTTCAAGCTCTTCGTTGAAGCTATTTGGACCATGTGCCAATCAAGTTTTCTTTTCTTTTCACTTCTCAGCATCTGGCAATTTATTGCTTAGTGTTGATGGCTCTGGCAGAGAAGAAAAAGTGGAATCCAAGGAATCGACTACATGGATAAGGGACTCTTCTCATCACCTTGTTGCTGAAGAATAAAGAATAAAGTTTTTTAGAGTTGATCAATGCTGTTGTGGGGTATTTCTTCTATTCGGAGCCTAGTTTCGTTCTTAATGTGTACATGGTCTAACTTACAATGGCAAAACGACGTACGAGTCAGAGTTTTTCTCATCCTCAACCAGTCTGGTACCTACTGGTAGCCCCAGAGAGATGGAAGCTTAATAGACCTGCGGAGAAGGTGCAGAGACGGATTCCGATCTCTGAACCATGGCTGCGATATGACGTCTGGGCGGAGGTACTTCACTCGGCACTCCACCACATCCGCCCAGGGGTCGTATACGATTGTATAAATAAATCACAGTCACTGGCATCAAAATAGGTGCAGGAAATCGTCGGGTTCGCGTCACCCCGTCTGGTCCAGATGTGACGATGGTCTTGGGAAAATTAGCTATCCCAGAAGGTAGCTGACTTTTCCAAGACCTCAACAGAAGAGAAATATACTTACCAACTAGTGTAGGAGTCCCTTATTATCACCTACTGCTAAAGGGAATGCTCTCGAAGTTGTCGATCCCCTGGAAAATACTGCCTAGTATGTCTACAAGAGATGCTCGAAGAAATGAAACTCAACTTCTGAGGCTATTATACGGGAAGGTCCCTGGATCTACTTCTTGAAGATCTCTATTATTATTATTATTATTACCACTGCCTTTATTAGCTATTCTTAATGGGATTAAAGTGTTGTGTGGAGCTTTCACCAGATCAGTTTGGCGAGGCCGTCTTCAGTTTCTGATTTCGAGGGGTCTGAAGCTCACTGTCGAATCTTGTGGGAAACCCGCAGATTTCATTTTTGCTCCCTGAATTCATACCTCCCATTCTATCTTAACGGTTAACCCTCAAGTAATTGTATGTGGAGGGAGCTGTGACAGTATGGGTGTCACGGGTGGCGGTATTTGTCCCCGAATTCCTATGCCAAGCAGCAGTGGTCCTACGGCGACTACCGTATCCTTCCACCATGTATTCAAACCCTTCCCTTCAAAGCGTGCGCCCGTGTGCGATCGGGTGCGGCGAGCGCTGCGCGATTTGCGGGGGAAAGTACCTACACCTCTCCATAGGGATATATACTCACTTGACCTACCTACATAGTCCACATACTTCAACTTTAGTGATTCAAATTTTCCAATTCAAAAACTTCTGAAATGAGAGAACAAGCTTTTTACGTTAAAATAAATAATGTATTTCATACCCCTACACTAAATCAAAATTCAAATGAATCGAGAAAAAGAGCCGACGTGTGAGGGGCAAGAACTAAAGCATGTCATCCATAGGATTTCGAGCTCCACAGGTACACCGCAGCGCAGCCGCGCCCTTTCTGACGGAACTGCTGGCTTAGGGCTTGCATCAGCTGATCGACAGGCCTCGATTCGTCTAGAATTTTTGCGTGTACTTTTATCGTTGTTTTGCTATAGTTGTTTCTGCTAGGTGGTTGTGAAGAGTTATGGGCCGAATCTTCATCGAAAACCACGGTGAGTCCCGACCGCTATGCATCAATCTTTGAAGACTTCCTATTGTGGATTCCTTTTATTTGTTACAGGAGGCCTCCGTATTGTTGTGTGTCGTTTTTGTAAAACGTATCTCACAAATCGTAGTGAACTGATCTCAAGTAGGTTCCAAGGTAGGTTGCTTTTTCTCTGCTTCATTTTCCTGGGTGACATCTGGATTGGAAGCAACCATCGGACGCCTACCTTTTTCCATTAGTTTTATACAAAATCCAGTTATTTTTGTACGACAGTAAGCCTAAAATCGAGCCTGGGAGTGCATAGCACCCAATCGCTCTTTACTAGTGTACTCGGGAGCGAGCTAACATGTTTCTTGATCTCGAGTGGTTACAAGGTTGAACATTACTCCAAGCATTTATATTTGCCATTATCCCTATTTGTTATTTTTGTACATCTATGATCCCTTATGATACTCTACGATTATTTGTATCTCACTGACGTAATAATTAGGATCATCTGGACGTGCCATGTTATTTCATCGTGCTTGGAATTTGGACTACTCTGAAGCACAACATCGGGACATGATGACTGGAAAGCATATCGTTCGTGATGTCATGTGCAGAATTTGTCATGTACGTTGGAATATTGCGAATGTTTACTTGTTGTGTTTTAAAAAAGTTGCAGAAGTATCTCACAGTTGTATTTGTTTTCAGAAGAAGGTAGGATGGATGTACGAATTCGCTATGGAGGAGTCGCAGCGATATAAAGAAGCTCGTGTTATTCTTGAAAAAGCGCTTATAGACGAGGAGGATGGTTTTCCTGATCCGGCAGGAGCACTTGAAACACACGAACAACCACCTGCGTATGTGCTATTTTGCTTCATAATATTCGCCAAGTTTGTCTTTTTACTTAAGTGTGTCGAGAGTGTGAACGGCTAGTGAAAAGTTCTGATATCAGGTGACAATAGCTAGAGAGGTGCCTTTGGAGGCGAAAGCCACTGGGTCTGCTTCGCCCTAGTAAACCTTGGTACTTTGATGGACGCTGTGGAATGTACTAAAATTCAAGGTGGTTGATGTCAAGTACAGATAACAACTGCGCTGATAAGTGGCCGCTGAAGGCGTACGCGATTGGTTGCCCTTCTGTTTAGGTCCATAGTACCTGATGGACGATGTGGACTGTTGCAGGATTGAATATGATAGTAGCTGATAATTTGATTTGGTGGGCGTGAAAATGCACAACCAGTTGAATTGCTTCTCCTTTATGTGTGAACAGTGAATGTTTGTTCCCACAGTGTGAGTAGGGAAGAGGTGGAAGGAAATGGTAATAGTTGATGAAAGCTGATTAACCATCGTATAAGGGGACATTCACCCATTTCGGATCTCTTTTGCATTGGCTGTGGGGCTTGGCAACGTGGTATATTTTGGGACGGTGTGATTGTGTAGCTTGACAGAAAATGACGGCAGCAGTGGTGGGTACTGATTGAAGTCCGTAACGTGTGAGGAGAACGAAACTTGGTTCTTACTATTAGTGTTTGATGCATTGTAGTCTGCGACTGGAAGAGGGTCACGTTTTTCTTGTTTCTTCTATCAGTTGCTACGAAACTAATCCGACTACCAGTAATCAGTGTATCTCAATGAGTGATTCATAGCCATGAAGATTAAGGGGACCATGGATAACGACTTATGATAAGTGTGTAATAATCAGTTGACGGCATTTGTAAGTACACACGATTCAAAGCTCTTCATAGAGGTTGCCTAGTCTAGTGGAACACCAAGGGGGAGGGGGGTTTAATACCCTCAATGGATAATTATCTTTTATATCATTATGACAGATCAAGGCTCTGTTATCATAGGCATGAGCGTCAACAACTGACCGGTCTCATCATTCCAAGGTTGCCTTTAAAGTTTTTGTCGAAAATTCAGTGTGCGCTCGAATTTTATGGTCAGTTTTATCATTCATTTGAAAAGAGAATGTCTACTCAGCATTCCGACTTCGTTACAAAAGACATGTAAGTTTGTATACTCAGACGATCCATTTGAGGTGTTCATAGATAACGAATATGAATATTATCTCGTATCCTGTTGACTTTGAAGCAAAAGAATCCTGCTGTCTTGATTTATCACCTATTTATGATCCACCTACCGTACCGATAACTTACTCTGCTTTTTCATTGTTTATTTTTAGTAGTTCTTTGCCTAGCGTGTAGTGCCAGTGCAGACAAAGCTAATGAGGCCCTCTACAAGACCTCTATAGCTGAGACACATTTTTTTGGGATTAAGAGTTCTAGAAATCATCACTTTTAACTTTTTGCAATTTAATTCCTTATTCTAACTGCGGCTGTTCATTTAGCTCTCCAAAATTCGAAACGTTTGGTGGACGTCGTGGTATTCGGTTGAGCACTTTGTCTAGATCCGACTCCGGCATAACCAACAGGGTGAATGCCTCCCAGGACTCTGCTCCTGCCATCCAGGAATCGCCCTAATCTAACCTCAGCAGCCAATGTTATTTCTCTTCATTGCTCCCTGATCCCTCTTTTTTCGATGCCTGTGTTACAGGTCCGTGTCTTGCATAATTCATTCAGTATGCTAGGATGTGGATATCAACTTCTTTTGAGAGGTTTCTTTTTTTTAGAGTATATTCGATCATTTAGAAGTTTTGTTAATTTGAAAATGTACATATTGTTCAAATACGTTTGCTTTTGTTTTAATTTCTGTGATTCATAGCTAGTTATAAGGATGAGCAGTATCTTGAACGGTGACGATATTTCTGTAGATAACTTTGCGCCGTAGTAAAAATAGATTTCAACTGCTTCTCTTTTTTTTGGATTTGGTTTATCGCCATATTATATATATATATCTCTTTTCTGAATTTCATCAGTACGGTAGTCCTTCCCTTGCACAGATCTTTTCAGTGTCAGATGCCACGAATGTTTTTCGAACATTGGGGTGGACGAAGGACATTCTCGTGTGAGGATTGCGGAACTTACTTATCGAATAGGCAGGAAGTCGTATCTACTCGATTTAGTGGTAGAAATATGTCCAGTGTTATAGTCATCAGTTTTAATCATTAGGTATATTTTAGGAAACACCGGCAGAGCATTTCTTTTCCGCCGAGTTGCTAATACTAGGCAAGGTAGTCCTGTGATTCGCAAGCTAACCACAGGAAATCATTTGGTTCGGCATTTATACATTTGTCCGTTTCTCTTAACTATCTCTAATTTTCTTCTTAAATACTTCTTTTATTAAAGGTCAGAGACGTGTTTTGTCTTTGCTGTGGTACAAAATTGGGATGGCTGTACGAATTCACCTGCCAGGAGTCAGAGCGATATAAAGAAGGTGGGTGAATTGCTAGTATTTATTCAATAAGTATTGACAAAAAGTTTAAGACCCGGTCTTGTCACTTTGTTGTGTCAGTGTTGAGCAAACATATGCAAAGTACTGTTTGCGTGTGCGATGTATCATTTGCCTCTACCACGTGGCCAATTACTTCTTCCATTTCCAGTTCCCAGTACTTTTCAAGGCCCCTGCCTTATTAGTGTACAATAAACTTCCATGGAAAATGTAGAACAACTTCCACTTGTTTTCCTGACGTTTGATTTGGTTTGATAGTTGCAGTAGTCCATTTCGAAGAGCAAAGGGTAGAGAAGTCTCCTAGAAGCAGCATTCCTACTGATAAAGCGCCCATTTTCTTTTTCCGATCTATTTCGACACTTTTTCGACAATTAAATACATAACAGTGTTCCGTTATCAAATAAGCTCCGTAATCATCTTGTGATAGTATGGGAAAAGGAATTTGTTTATTCTATTTCCTACAATTCTCTTGGTTCGCCTACATTTGTGATACTCGTCATTTCTAGGTAAATTTATTTTGGAGCGGAAACTTGTTCGAGAAACAGAGGTGACACACAACCAACTTGCGGAACGATTGTTTGAAAATGATGGGCCTGCATCTCCAAAAGAAGTCCGATCAAATCGGAAGCCCTTGTAAAAATTTGACGTTCTGAAGATATGATCTCTACTTGCCAGCTCACAGTCTACCTCATCATTTCGGGCTTTGTTAGGTGCCCAATTTTATTATTGAATGCTTATTGTGTCCGTTCGTTAATTGTTATTTTGTTTTTATTTGTTTTGATGTTGCTCTATCACTAGGCAAATAAAGACTTTGCCCTCGGTGTTTTTATATTTTCTCTGCGCGTATCTCGCTTCTTATTGTCATTTCACTTGTCCTGGAATCCAATCTTGTATTTGCTTTATAACTAATTTACCTCAGTCAATGGCAATATTGCACAAGAGCAATAGCAGAGAGGAGTCAGATTGCGAAAACCAGCGACCCATCGAATGTGGGGCAAGGTTTGTTAATTTTTTCTCTGCCCTTTATACTTGTGAAACGATTTCTCTTTTCAGTGGCGAAAGTGGTTCATATGCGAGAAGACGATGTGGAAACAGGAAAAGAGATGTGCATAGTGGTATGCTAACTTTTCATATCTATCGTGGCGCAGTCTCACAGTTCTCACATTTAAATTATGGTATTTTTCAACCACTTCAAATTGATGTACTTAAGAATATCGTCGAAGAGGATCTGTCTCACCTGGAGCCAATTCTGGAGATGAATATGATGTTGGGTTCAGAGATGATGCGGTTAGTTGTAGAGCTACCCTTAAAATCAGTTCAATGTCGAAAGCGTATGATTGTAGCTGGAGGCCGACTTCGCTCGTTTACTAAAGAGAACTCGAGGTTTTGAAATAAAGGTAGTGCGAGGCGATGGAGCTTGCATGTTTAGAGCCGTAGGTCTGTGTTTTTTGCTTGAAATCCATTATTCCTTCATTTTTCTTCATCGCTTTAGCGGACCAACTCTATGCAGACCAGGACATGCACGGAGAAGTGCGAAGACTTTGCATGGATTACATGGTAAGTTATTCTTCTCAAGTGTTTAGTGCCCGCCGAGGTCGAAAATCTTTCCAGGAAAGGAACCGAGATCACTTTGCTCCCTTTGTCGCCGAAAACTTCTCGTCTTACGTTGCTCGTAAGCGGCAACCTGGTCAGCACGGCAATCACGTGGAGCTTCAAGCGATTTCGGAAATGTTCGCGCGTCCTATTGAAATCTACGAATACAGTGAAAGTGAGTTTTGATCATGTTCAAAGTATAGCCTGTAGCCGCATATTCATCATTTAGACCCGAGGAATGTGTTCTACCCAACAATAAGGTCACTTGATGTTAACGTACCTATTCGTCTAAGCTATCACGGCTCATCTCACTACAACTCAGGTACGCTCTCGCTTACTTTCAGACCTTATCAGGCTTCAAAAAGGAGCCTAAAAGTACATAAGGGGGGGGGGGGGGGGGGGG